ACAACAGTAGGTTTGACAGCTACAATGTCAGACCATGTCAGGAACAGTGTATTGATCATATCCCATATTACCTTTCGGGATTGTCGCGTGCACATTTTTTCCGACAACCTTTCTCGAAATAGCTGTATGTTACTTAATGTTTAATTTAGGTCTGTGCAGGCCTAAGACGAACCTGCAGCTGAGCTACGCTGCACTGCCACGTTGACGCTAGTTTTCTTTGTTCCCATGATGTTAGTTGCTACACAGTCGTATAAACCGGTGTCGGCAGGAATCAAGTTGTTAATGGTAAGTGTGCCTTGATTTATTTTCGTTTTTCTAGCAGGTAAAGGCATTGCTGCTCTAGTCCAGGTTACAACGGGACGAGGATAGCCTTCAGCTTGACAGGTTACTTGGAATGTGGTTCCTTGTACCGGGGCGGCAAGAAACGGTGGAACTTTTGTGAATATTGGAAGACCTGAAAAAATAATTATCAGGTTTGCATACTAAAACTACATGGACGACATCGGGAAGGAGAGGAGGTGGGGAGGGTACTCAACACAGTTTTGTACTTGGAGGCTCCGCCCCGTGGTCCAACACCATATGTAATTTTAAACAGAGAAGGTGCCCCTTTCAAATACGTAGTTAGAACTTTGCATGTAGGGAGATCAACGAACTGTATTAAAAATATGAATAAATCACAAAAGTAGAAAAATTTCTCGAAATTTTCACATCCATAAAATCTTTCCGCTAGCCCTTTTAGATCTTCTTGCAGACCGAAATGACAGATTTCCCTACACTATTATTTACTTCAACTGGTAAAACACCGACCCTTTCATACAGTACCTGAAGCCTTAAAATGGTACCCCTTTCGGAAGGAGCCTCCCTGTACAGGACATCAGAAGAAGTACCCTCCGGGGAACAGCAGCATTACAACTGAGAAAAATCTGACAAATTAGGTGTTTTCTTTTCCAGGAAACTTGTACAAGAAATGTTCGTTTGCATAACAGAAAAAAAAGGAGAGATGAAACCAGTTAGTTATTAGCTGGCAAATCTGTTAAAGGGTTTTTTCAAGAAGTCGTAGTCTGACGGCTACTTAAGCCTTAACCGAATTCTGAAAGCGTGTCAAAATAAAGTCAGGCGAGGATAATGTTCTGTCAGTGTGCCTTCACATCGTGTAGTTTTCTTGAGATGTTTATGCGCCGTTCAGTTCTCGCAACCTTATTACCTTGCAAGAACATGTAACACATCATACTAATATAACAAACAAAATTTGACGGCCTGTTATACAACAAACCTCAAGAATGAAATGCTCCTCTCACCTCGAACAGACAAGTTACAAGTGGCCTGCCTGCTAGGTTCTTACAAGGATCGTCGTGTACTCATGCTGGGTCGTAGCGACATTAAGTTTAAATACTGTTAGTTGAGAGGAAGAAATTAGTTTATGAAACGTGGGCTGTCTTAGAAAGACGGGAATTTATGCCATTCCACGACTGGAGAAGGATTTCCGGCGACCGTGCAATAAAATGCCGTATTTCCCCCCTCATCTCGTGTCTGCTCTGCTGGCGTCAACATCGCTTTTGGAGCAGATATCGATTTTCCAGGCCTTCCAGGTGGTCCCGGCATGCCTTTTGGCCCAGTCTCTCCTTTATCTCCCCTTTCTCCTCTCGGTCCTGCGGGACCAGTTAGTCCTGTTTTTCCGGATTTTCCAGGAGGTCCCATGGGACCTTGAGGACCTTTCTTTCCCTTTGGTCCCCTCCTGCCACGTGGTCCCCTCGCTCCAGTGGGACCAGGATATCCGGGGGGACCTGTAGGACATACCTTCTCACTTGACTTACAGTACTTGGTGGGCATAAGTTGTTCAAACTGTTTGCTGATTTCTTTTCTTACTTCATGTATGGTGATGCCGGTTGAAGTGTTGTTCAAAACGTTTCTTCGCTTCCTTAAGCGGATGGTTGCTGATGCCTCTATTGATAACGGGCTGACTGCAGTAAAATAAGATTAATAAATTTTTTAATATCCAGTGATTAATATTAAAAATAAATAGGGGGGAAAATATATCGAACAAATCAACGGAATGAATGATAAGGCTGACATTTCTAACAACGTTTTGGACGTTCAACAACAAGGTTAACAACTTTTTTAATTTGCCCCCACGCTTCTTCCCTTGTCGCTTCTAAGGGAAAGCCAAGCTGACATTCTAGATTTCTAATTCTACGCACACAAAACCCCAGGGGGAGGGTACTTGGGTAAAATTTTTGCTAAGTATGTGCCGCTGGCGTCAAAGAGCCCCTTCCCCATTATAGTCAAGTCTGTGACCAATTATAGACCCTATCTTAGTCACTTTTGGGCAAATATGTAAGTTTCGCGATCCCAACTTATTCACTTTTTATTTTTATGAATTGACCCATTTTTGAAACTGTATGAAGAACACTTTACTTTTCACCTACAGTACAAACATTCTGGTATGTTTGCTAACCGTAAATAAGAAGAACTGTCTTACCACAAAAAGTCCAAAAATGTGCGACCCCATTCTAGAAATTCTATTGAAAATGCGACCCCATTATAATCAATCCAGTCGTGTAAATGCGACCCCATCCAGCGGCACATCCAATTAGCCTCTTATGAGGAAGTGCCCTCCCCGGGTTTCAAACCAACTAAGACCGTTCAATAAACGTACTTTCAATCTTGCCACCCTATCGAAGTTACCAAAGGTTTTATCAAGCAACCCGGCAAGCCCTAAGACCCCTTAACCGAACTCCTCTAGGGGCTAACCTTTCAAAAAATATCTCAAATTTTACGCCACCCTAACAATTTTATTCAGACAGTGCTATTTCAGACCAATTTTCCACACCTGTTTTCAGACCATGCAGACCTCAGTCCATACCCGCTTTCAGATCTGACCTTTAGACAGAATTGTGTCATCATGACTTAGATTAGAGCGCAAACAAAAAAATTCCTCAAATGCATTTCGAATTCACATATTGCTATTTCGTTCTTATTCATGTGGAACTGAAACGATAACTAGGTTCATGCATACGCTCCAGTAGGTTCCTCGAAAACCAAACCCTATTCCAGACAAAAATGGCCCACCTTTATACCCGCGTTTTCAGACCAAAAAGGGCCAAGAACTATACACCCTTTGTGTGCTCCTGTTATATGGCTTATATAAAGGAGTACCCCCCCCCGGGTATTGACCACATATCTTGTACGTGAGCAAGTCGTTCGACACTATTTACACCGAAAATTTTTTTTATTGTTTTACCAGTATAGGTTGCTTAGTGAATTTTTAACTTCACCTAACACTGTATAAACCCTTTTGCAACACTCTCGCTCTGTTGTAATACTGCTTAGATGATCCCGTATGCAAGCGCAAACTCACACCATGAAAGATTATATGCCTAAATCAAAAGAGGATAAACTCAGTTCTAAACATGTATCTGCATCTAAATAACATCTGAAGTGAAGATCTTACCTGATGTATAACCCATCCTTTCGGATACATGTGTCTGAACCTTCTTATAAAAATCTCTTGCTGTAGCTTCTGTCAATGAAAGAGATATCCTGTCAGTATTTTCAGTCGAGTCACTCTGAACGCAAGGGAAAAGGTTAACGCGAGATTCCAGCGCTATCAGTCGTTCGTTTGTTGTTTCATTCTTCACCCAGAGACATCCGCAAACGAAAACTAATACAACAGAAAGAAACGATGGCCTTATTAACGGAACAAAATCAAGGAGACGACGAGATTCTGCCGGGGAGTTCGAGGATTTCATTTCTGCAGCTTGCCAATCGTCCCATGCACGGAAGGTGGAGGTGAGTGTGAAACGTGCAAGTAAATTTGATCCCTAAAAATTTCGCCCGAAGAAGCATGTCATTAAGGTTGAGGTAAAAAAAAACAAAACACAAAACAAAACAAGTCGTAATAGGGGCGGCAGGGGCCTCGCGCGGACCATGAAAACCTTAATGGGGGAGGTGGGAGGGATAACTAAATGAATAAAATTAGTGCACTCCAAGTAACGCCAAAAAATATTCATGCTTTGGCCCAAGATAATTAATACAAAGAAAATGCTAACGAAAAAAAATCATGCGACTTTCCTATTGGTCTGTCTCTAATTAACTTTCTTCCTCACGCCTCGTAACAATATCATTTTCATTAGAGTGATTTCTCTTGCATATTGCGTGAACTGGACCATGGGAGATTATGTTCGCTGGCAAACATACTTTATTGAATAGTGGAAACATTCCCTTGCAAACTGGGATTACCTAATAATTTAGCGGCAATATATGCACTTCATACGTTACAATCCTGGACAAAAAGTATTGAGATTTGCACTTTCTTACCCACAGAACGCCTATCTCGCGGATTTTGGTACCGCTATGGCCCTTCCCCTCGCCCCACCCTTGTCAAGTTTGTTTATTCGGGATCAGAAATGATCCAGTTGGGCCTCAACATTGTTGTTTTTGGTGGGAGAGGGGATGGAGTATCTGTAGTTGCCAGTCTTTCAAGCTTTATCTTGAAACTAGACGCAGTATCGTCCATTTTTCTCAACATTTTTTTCAAGATTGTAGATGTGTTAGTACTGAGCCAGTTATACAACTATTTTGATTAAGATTCTAATTGAACGTCACTATTTTTATCTTGTGTAGTTAAGGTTAAGGGCGACAGACTTAGCCACCCCTCTCTAAGTTCCACACAAAACATGTGCGGGTTAAGTAACTCGTTGTCCATTTTTGTTATATTTACAATGACAGCTGCTTGACACGGTCTTTTACTAGCGCATCTTGTTTGTTAGCAGTGTCTTAGACATAAATGAGTCTTTTTTGTATTGTTTATACATACGACTTAGAGTTCCCCAAGTAGCGCACCTTACTTTGTTGCATTACAAGTGTTTGAAATCGGGACAGACTGAGCGGACCAGCCCCCGGGTTAGTATTTCAACGCATATGCGGGCGTACTGAATTGAGCTCTTGGGCAAGAAAATAACTCATTGCCCTTTTTTGGTTTTATTTCCAATGACATCAGTTCATGAAACAGTTTTTTTTACTAACGCGTGCTGTCCGTTAATCGAATCTTGACGTGTGCTTAAAGCGCTCGATAACGTTCGCGCGCTTGCACAATAGCGGCTGAACCTTTCGGTAGGTGACGGGTTTAACTCATACACAAAGTAACCTTGACACTCTCTAACGCGTATCTGAACTGTCCAGTAACAATAGTTTAATAATCCGTCGAAACAATCTTCCCTCCTCACGATACTATCTTCAAAGGTGGGATGCTCGCCATTCAGCGACCCAGTCAGATCAGAGCTGCATTTGCGAACGGGGATACAATTGTCTACCATTCTTGAATATAAAATTGACTGGAAGCGGAACCAGCCGGGGACGAGTCTGTTGTCTGAGTTACTACCATAACCAAAGGACTGCTGTCGATTAGGTTCAGTAAGAACCGTATAGTCTCAGCACTGTGGTGCATCTTAATTAAAAAACGGCAAGTGATGAGAAAACTATGGGCCAAAATTGAATGTCTAATTGAGTTCTGCTAGATTTTCTACTGCTAGCTACGGGGGGGGGGGGGGGGGGATGTGTCTGTGCTTTGTTTGTGTTTTTTTTATCTCAGATATTCCTCTTGTTTTTTTTTTTTTTTTTTTTTTATTTCTTGTTTTTTTTTTTTTTTTTGTTTTGTTAAAAATAAAGAGGATAAAAGTGGAAATGTAAAGAAAGGGGGGGGGGAAGGGCGGGTAAGGGGGGGGGGGGGGGGGGGGGGGGGGGGGGGGGGTGCTCCCATACATTAGTGTATGTGCCGCCCAACGGGGTCGTGATTTTGAAGCTCCTGGTTTATAGAACGAGGTATCCATTTCAGAGGCGTTTTCTAGAGCGGTGTATAATATTTCGAACGCACTAAATCTCCAGTTTTGTAAGCAGCCATTTGAAATTATTCAAGGACAGATTGCTTTTAAAAATACGGTTCAATGCGTTAACAAGCAAACTGTTGTACTCTTGTGGCACCCTGTGTTTTAGCGTGTAGGGCGGGCGTATTTTGGCGCGAGCCACGAGCGCTGACTCTGCCATCTTAGATAAATAGGCGCGGGGAAGTCTGGAACGAGTCCATAATGTACCCAAGGGAGATGGAGACGGACTCAAAAGAAAGGGACGGGGGAGGAGAAGGAAAATCGTTAGCTTACGAGCGTGGTTCTGTGCGTGGTGAGACGGATTTTGCGTCATAATTAACCACATTGTATCCACACGCACAGGAAACGTACTCCGGATGATTATGAAGAAGCATTTATTTGATGTATAAGTCAAACAAATAAAGAAATATCTTTTAAAAAAAGACAGGGCTATTTCAATTTACAAACTTTCTGGAACGGAGTATAAAAAATTGGCCCATTTCTAGAACGGGGTATCAGTTTTAGGGCGAATTCTAGAAAGGGGTATAAAAAAAAAATTGGCCCATTTCTAGCACGAGTTGTAAATTTTAGGGAAAATATTTTATAGAACGGGGAGCCAATTTGGAGTCCCGGGAGGCACATATCCACCAAAAAATACCCAAGGGCTCCCCCCCCCCCGGGCAGCTAGCACACAATGAACAGCTGAACATGGAAATTGGCATGTAACGGGAAAAACAGTATGGCAGTACTCCAAACCTCTAATTGTAAACATCTCACAGGCCATAATCCTCTGATTCGCTCTGACTAGGGCTAGTGCTCGAAACTACCAGCTTCTCAATTCTCCACACTGGCCAATCTTTTCTCTAAAGCTTTGAAAAAAACAATCTTTATATCTCACTACCCCACTGACGCTACACCACAGTTTCTTTAGAAACCTTACCCCTTTGTTCATCTTTAACTTAATAGCCAATAAGCGCCATATAGCAGATTAAATTCCTCGGAGAGGGAGGGGCCGGGGTATGCGAAAGACAAAAGTAAACAGTTTCATTCACTTATAAAACTATGAAGTACTTTTAACAATGCGAAAAAACCGGACATATCAGATAATCTTTAAGGGGTTTGTCATATTGCACGGTAACAGTGTCCTTTCTTAACTACCGGTAACTCAACTTTTTTTTTTATAAGATGATTTCTTAATATTTAAAACAGCCGTTTCGCTTTTAGTAAATATATTATTATTAATGACCTATTTACCTTAAACGTAAAAAAATGTATCGATCTAAATTCGCAATTTTTTTTTCCTTTAAAGTATTTTAAATATTTTTACTTGATCACCTCCTTTCAATTAATGCTGCATGAGTAGGCTATCTTTAACTTGTAAATGAAAGTTCTTATTAGAGACTTTTGTGTCCTCTTCTTGCTTATTCAGGTGCCTCGGTTTATTACTTGGCTGTTAATTAACAGTTAATGAATGAGGCTGAGTATCTTATGAAGAATTATGGTGATCGAGGAGGGTGTTATCCGTCGAGGCCGTAGGCCGAGGCGGATAACACCCCTCGAGATCTTCATAATTCTTCATATGATACGAAAGCCGAATTCAATAACTGTTTTATTATTCATTCAAAATAATTCCTAGTTTAAAAACATAGCTAAAACGTGCTTACCTCCATCGATCCATCGATGTTCAGTTCATCTTCGATAGTGTACGTTTAGGTTTGTCCAGCTCCTTCAAACATTCTCCAAATAGCAGATGTCGCCCTTCGAGTTGTCTTCTTGTTGTTCTTGCCATGTTTTTAGCCATTTTTTCGCCTAGTTCTTACTCTTGAAACGAGTGAAATGTCCGCCATTTTTTCAAGTTCACAAACAAAACAACTCAACCTCGTCCCCAGGTCTTCTCGGTCAACGGTGCCTTAACCTGCGAAAACGCTGCATTTTTGACGTCATTTCCTCGTTAAAGTCAAATTTCTTCCAAATTTGGTCATCAGTAACTGGTTATGGTGAATTAAACGTGTGCTTTTAGCCAATCAGAATCGAGGAAATATTTTGAATGAATAATAATGATTGTTAACTCCTGATTATGCAAGGTGCACAGCTGTGTCAGCATAACTGCACGATTCCAACCAAGAACCCTGTAAACGTGAGAATATCTAGGAAGAGGCGCCAGTCTTTTATCGGATGTTCGCCTTAAAATGCCAATTTTTTATGCTCTAACCAAAAAGAAAAAGAGAAAACTAAATTAAAACCAATAAATAATTAAATATTAATACAAAAATTGCAAAAAACCCAAATTGAACTCCGTTTCAATAGTAACTGAGTTTTTCAATAGCTGTGTTATTTATACCTTTTTTATCATCGTTTTGAGCGAGTTTTTTTATGGTCGGAATTGTGCAGTTATACTGACAGAAAGAAGAATTTGATTAGCATGTATCGCTAATACAGGCTGTATGTTAAAGTAGACCGAAATGTTTACAAAACCGCTAAAAAGAGTATCTCGATACATACTAACCAAATTCTCCTTTCTAGCAATCGGCTGGAGCTATCTCCATGATCTTTCACACACGTTTTTTAAAAAATTGAAACTACTATGACGTACCCTGGGAGCAGAAGCTACATTTTCGCCGTGTGAGCTGTCGTGCAAAAAGTAGCTTAAGTGAAATTGCATGTCAAACGTGCTTCGTTTTCTACAGATAACAGCCNACGGTGCCTTAACCTGCGAAAACGCTGCATTTTTGACGTCATTTCCTCGTTAAAGTCAAATTTCTTCCAAATTTGGTCATCAGTAACTGGTTATGGTGAATTAAACGTGTGCTTTTAGCCAATCAGAATCGAGGAAATATTTTGAATGAATAATAATGATTGTTAACTCCTGATTATGCAAGGTGCACAGCTGTGTCAGCATAACTGCACGATTCCAACCAAGAACCCTGTAAACGTGAGAATATCTAGGAAGAGGCGCCAGTCTTTTATCGGATGTTCGCCTTAAAATGCCAATTTTTTATGCTCTAACCAAAAAGAAAAAGAGAAAACTAAATTAAAACCAATAAATAATTAAATATTAATACAAAAATTGCAAAAAACCCAAATTGAACTCCGTTTCAATAGTAACTGAGTTTTTCAATAGCTGTGTTATTTATACCTTTTTTATCATCGTTTTGAGCGAGTTTTTTTATGGTCGGAATTGTGCAGTTATACTGACAGAAAGAAGAATTTGATTAGCATGTATCGCTAATACAGGCTGTATGTTAAAGTAGACCGAAATGTTTACAAAACCGCTAAAAAGAGTATCTCGATACATACTAACCAAATTCTCCTTTCTAGCAATCGGCTGGAGCTATCTCCATGATCTTTCACACACGTTTTTTAAAAAATTGAAACTACTATGACGTACCCTGGGAGCAGAAGCTACATTTTCGCCGTGTGAGCTGTCGTGCAAAAAGTAGCTTAAGTGAAATTGCATGTCAAACGTGCTTCGTTTTCTACAGATAACAGCCGAACATCAAGATTGTCCATATTTTACAGTATTTTTAACCATAAAAACTTCATTCCAAAATGTCTCGATAACGTTCTTGCAGATTTCGCTCAAACTATGTATTAAGTGTATTCGAGCCTAAGGCTGCGTGCAAACCGGCGCAACAACTCCCAACATTGTTGCGCCAACAATATTGGGAGTTGTTGGCTGAAAGGTTTGACCGGTTTCAAACTTTGCGCAACAACACGCAGGAACATCCAACAACATGCAACAGGGTGTGCAAACGGACGCAACATGTAACATCCAAGGCAATGTTGGTAGTTGTTGGCCAACAATGTTGCGTCCGTTTGCTCGGGGCTTAACACATACTGCTAACAACCAAACTGCTCTATGTAATGTAACCATTTATTATCGAAGTTTGTGTTGTTTGGTGCTGATAGAAGGTTGCAAACCTGCCAAGGTGTTAAGCTTGTCATTGATCACGAAAACCTTGAGTGTGAAGATTCAATCATTAAGTATCTAGGTGTTGTCATTCATAAGAATCTGACTTGGAATGAGCATATCGAAACATTGATTGCGAAAGTGAATCAAAGATTTGGCTTGTTAAATCGTATCAAACATCTATTGCCTTTGGATGCGCGAGTCGCATTATACAATGTTTTAATAAGACCTCTCTTGCTGAAACGACTATGGTAGACCCCTCTGTCTCTATTATAATGTAATTACGTACTAAATGTCCAGAACGTTTTAATTTCCGACGGTTTCAATAGGAACTAAACGGGTTGCTACGAAGTAGATGGCTGCGAGACAAAACACTCGGATGGCCTACCTTATTTCAAGAGCGCCTTGTACATAGATACATTACCACTTTTAAGTACATCCACGGACTTGTAGATCACAATTTTAATATTTTGAGAAACTCAGACATCTATAGTTATAACACTAGAAGAAGGAACGATTTCCGTCTTTCTCTCGCTAAAAGGAATTACGGAAAGCAGAGACTTTTTATCAATGCGCTAAGGAATGGAACATTTTACTGAGACGCATCTTTTAAAGGAACTAACTCTCTTCTTCTTTTTAAACAGAACATTAAAAGCTATAAATTTTAGATATTTTATAGCTTTTAATATTTTAATCTATCTGACATTTTAACATTTTTAACCTGTAGCTTGTATAATTAAGGTTTTTAGTTCTTAACTTTTTACTTATTATTACTATTACCTATTCATTAATCTAACACGGATCATTTGTTTTTCTATTGTTTTAAAGGGCCTCACTGAATATCACTCTTTGTGAAGTGAGCTCCATGTATAAAGATTTTTATTTATGTTCTCTAACATTTCTTAGCCTCTTTTCATACAGATGCAAAGAGTTCTTTACTTATAAGCCTAGTGGGACAATCGATTTTAGAGATTATTTAGTTACAGTTATCATAATGCATAAGAAGATAACAAGCCTATTACTTAAACATAAAAGCCGGTTGTAACTCATTAGAATTATTTAACTTGCGTTGTTTCATAAAACGTTTCTATTTCCCCTGGTGTGAACACGTATGTTCCTGCCAGGAATGTTTGGGCGAAGGTACTGCTGTAGGTGTACCCGCTCGGTGGGCTGTAAGTATAGCCAAGGTTACTAAACGAACTGCGTTTGGATGAGGCGAAGTCTGTTATGTGAATGTCATGTCCTCCTCCGAATGAAGGTCCGTATGACGGAATATCTTCTATGGAATGTTGCCTTCTGGAGCTATATTTCCCTGTCTAAGGCAGCCTAACGGGTGCCCATCCTGGCTTGTTTACAAGTGAGAATAAAAAGGCGTTTGAGTCGTACCAATACCTAGAGCCAGAACCTACAACAAAACAGAGATGGAATAAAAGTGACATTTGGGATATTTTTCTGATACTCACTTGCAAAAGGCACCCGTCATGTGCAGTGACACATACCACAAGATAAAGGTTCGTTTATATTTTATACCTTCCTTCACACTGATATATGTATGTTTTGTAGAATGAACATCAGACACATCCAAAAAAAAAAAAAAATGATGATGAGGGCGCGATATAGCACTGTCTTTTTGCCAGCCCAGTACTAAAGTTCCCAATAGCTCATGGATACGTTATGGATGGTGTCGCGGGTTTAATTCCTATCTGGAACTTGGTTCTTTGGTTCTTCTCTTGTCAACATATATCATTCCAGTTAACATTAAAAAAGCAAATAAACACTTTGGAATGCACGGCCGATTACCCCCTGAATTGAAATCCACTCATGATTAATCATGACCCTGCTTACATCTATACCCTCGACAAGAAGAACTCCAAACACATCCAATTAAAACGAAAAATGTAAATCACTGGGTCGCCTAGTAATATACAATTAATGGAACAAAATTTACAGATGCTAAGTGTTTTATAAATTATTGATAAAACAACCATGAGAATGTGTCAGGAGCCTGCAGTGTTTCATTTTTAAAATTAAACTAAAATTGCCTACAATAAAACCTCCCGCAAGCAGCCACTTTTTGAACGGGAGGTTAACAATCGGGGTCCTGAAACCTAAGAGACTGTTCGCTTACCGGAGCTAAGGTTTTCGTCTATGAGAGCTGTTTAAAAGCAAAAATTTGCAATTACAAAGCAATAGATTCGAGCAAAAAATATTTGAAGAATAATAAAGAAAACGTCGGGTGATTAGATATTTCCTGTTGCAACTTGTATAGGGCAAATCTGTTAAAATCATGATCGACAAAAAAATCTGTTGCTGTAGTTGTTTTTTGCCACATTTGCTAATTCCTTGTGAGTCATGGAGGAGGGTCCTCGGTTTTAGAGGGGCGAGGGGGTGTGCCTCCGAACCTAGATCCGCCAACCTGAATCCTTTATCGGCTACTGCTTAACCATGCAAGGCATGGCAGGGAAGTAGTAAGATGAATGACGTGCAGTTTCGTGTTCATTAGTTATAATTTCATCCCATTTGAATGCTATAGTGAAGTTATAATCGGCGTCTAAATTGAGCATAAAGTAAAATTTAGGAAAGCAATGTTGAAAACTTATCAAGTTTCTGTTAGGTAGGGAATTCTATGATTTTTGGTGAAAACTCCATTTCAATCGGATAAAAAGGTGTAAAGTTGCAGTTAATTCAAAAATTCAAATTTCCCGCCACATGACCATACATGGTCAAACTTTAGGGGTATTTTTAGGCGAGAACAATGAATGTATTGGCACAGGAGCAGGGAGAACATTGCATAAAATCAAAATTGTAGTTTATTTGACTTAGGCCATGGGGTGCTATGACGCATTTTTCGTCACGAAATACTTCATTACGTCTCATCGAATTGACGTGGGGTTTTCACCAAAAATCATCATAGAAGTCCCTACAGAAACTTGATATAAAGTTTTTAACATTGTTTTCCTAAATTTTACGGTGGATGCTAAATTTAGACGTCATTTATGACGTCACAATAGCAATGAAGTGGGAGAAAGTTCATAAAAATGAATATGTAATTTATCCAACTACTTCCCTGCCAAGTTTCTTTAAATGCGTTGTATTCTACTTTTATCTGTGGCCTTAAAAACGCGCAGTTTTGACAGTTGCAGGAGCAAAAGCCATAGCAACCGACAATCGTGATATTAAAATTTTTCGAAAAAACGAGCCTCGTGACAATATCATTTTAATTTTAAATCATCTCTTACAGTGCAAAGTACACAAGAAAGATGGACTTAGAGCACTGTCATAAACCTGATAACAAATTCATCTGATTTTATACTATTATAATAATAATATATTGAGACTTTTGTTCCTGGGTCATCGTTAAGTTTGATCAAAAATAAAGCTCAAACAGCGGTGATAAATATTGTGAGCTTTCGCATTTTTATAAACTTGACATTTGGTATGCCTTCAACATACATTTTCAAAAGTGATCTAAATACATTTTCAAAGGTATTTTTGAAAATATATTTCAAAAGTGATTATTGGGCTTCTTTTCCTGACCTCGGTTCAGCAAACGAACAAGTGTGAAAGATTACTAGAACTAAGTACGTAGTACTTTTAGTGAAAGACAGCCATCTCAGCTCAAACATCATAGCCGATGTCGTTCATTTTATTTAGCTAGGTTGATTCGTAAAAGGTTTCAACTTCGTCTGGTGTGAACTTGTAAGTTCCTGCCAGGAATGTTCGGGCGAAGCTGCTGCGGTAACTGTACCCGCTCGGTGGGCCGTAATCATGGCCAAGGTTGCTGTAAGAATTGCTATTGGATGATGCGTCGCTTTTTATGTTAATGTCGTGTCCTCCTCCGAATGTGGGCCCATATGAGGACACAAAGTATAGGGAATATGCTTTGTTAGAGCTATATTGCCCTGTCTGAGACAGTTTAACAGGCGCCCATCCTGGTTTGTTCACCAGTGAAAATAAAAAGGCTTTGGAGTCGTATTGATACCGGCCAGATGACGATGCTAGTAAGAAGAAAGAAAGAAAAAATATATATTGAATAGAAAATAAGTTTTTAAGATAAAAACATTGTCCTACATAAAAATAATAAAATCATCAATAATAATATTAATATTAATAATAATGATAATTCATAATGAAGCAAATTCGAGTTGCTTAGTTTACATAGGTATGACGAATCACTCTTGACTAATGAACGACACGTTTTATCAAGAGCTAATTCAGTTCATTCTTTTCATTCTTTTTAGGAATTTCTTATAAATATTTTTATTATAAATTGTCCTTGTTATGATAGAATCTACCGTAAGCGGTCACTCTTTGAACCAGACCAATCAGTTTTTCAGTTTAGGAGAGATTTTCTCTAAAGGGAGATTGAGATCCGTGTTTCTGTGTGGCTACAGGTATGTGCGCAGGGATCAAGACTAAGGCCCGGTTTTCACGAGCGACGCATTTAGCGCAAGCATACGTATAAGCATTAGCATAACTTAAGGATAAAAATCAGCATGAACACGAGAAGCTTAATGTGCACTATCATAAAAAGCATGAGCTTAAGAAAAACCCAAGGTTTTGATATTCTTGTACTTATGGTTTTGATTTGCCGTCCTCATTAGATCCTTATGCGTATGCTATATATACTTGCGTCGCTAGGGAGGACCAGGTTTAAGGGGCTGTCCGCTTATCGGAGCTGAGGTGAGGTGTCTGACTACGAGAAGTGTCAATTAGCAGAAATTTGCAATTATGAAAGCAATTGGTGAGAAAAAAAAGAACAAGAATTAGATTGGAATGTTTCGTGTGACTTAAGAAAACACGTGTCCAAATTCATGGGTTGTTTTTTTTCTCACCATTTCCCAAAGCTTTCTATAATCTGGTGAATAAGTCATAATACTCTTACCACAGTAATGAAGCTTTTGTTATTTTATTATTTATTATAATAAGAATTATTATTATTATTATCATTATTATTATTATTATTATTATTATTATTATTATTATTTCTATTATCATTATTATTGTTGGGTCCGTTTTGCAGGCTAGAAATTCTCATCACTTTGCTGATCCAGATCTTGAGGAGAGGGGGCGGGGGATTGGGGCTCATTCACACCTTTTTAAGTCTACTGAGGTATGGCGATCCTCGGTGCTTGAAGGGTGCGGGATGCATGCCCGCATGCATCTAAATCCGCCAACCACTAGTAAATCTTTATCCGTCACTACTTAACCATGAATGAATGGCAGGGTTAACTGAGTCTTTATAGGGCAGTACCAAGCTGCACTACGCTTAAATAACCGTACTGGTGGTCCATGCATCAAAATCTGCTGCTTTACAGTATTGACTTACCCCATGAAATACTGGTGTATCCTCCAAAAATGTATCTCCCGACACTTATTATTGTCACAGTCGGGCCCTTGGCGTCACATCGGGAGTGAAATGTACTTGCAGCCCATCCGTCCACGGATGCACGCCAACAGCGTTTCCACAGAGAATTGACGCTTTTTGTCACAGGTTTAAGCCAGTTGCTTAAGGAGGTCAAGTGGTTTCTGTTGTTTCCCACAATGACCGAGTTTTCAAAAGCTAAGTAAAAAAAACCTTCTTTAACATGTTGAACAAATTATTATTTGGCCAAGTGAAACGTTTAAAAATTTGACATCAACTGGATTATTGTCATTTGCAGGGCTGAATTAGCAAAACGAGTAACGTTGCAAGTAACTAATTAAAGAAAGAGTGCCGATTCATGTATTTGATTTGCTAATAAGAAATTTTAAACATGAAAGTCCAGTTAGCACACAAGTCTTAAAATGCAAATTTATGTCAGCACCTCATACACAATGACTATATAGCTCTCTTTGATTTTTTTGTGTGATATTAAATGGTGAAAAAAATGCCAGTCGTGGATGGGATTTGAACTGATCACCATGCGATACAGCGGTATAGTTCTTACGTATCTAGGCTCTCGGAAAAGTGCCCATCGTCCTTTGATGAGTAAAGAATAAGATGATGATGGTGGTGATCGTGATGATGATGGTGGTGATGATGATAAACTTTAGTTATTTATAGACGGTTAAAATATTCGTATAATAATAGAATATGAAGCAGTTCTATAAACTGTTTTATATGATTGCCGTGTGGGAGCATGATCAGCAAACCGAGAGTGAATTTTCCCTCAAAGTCATCTGATCTAGAGAATTTGCTGTGCGTACGTACATCCTCGGGAAGATTGTTCCATAAGTAAGCACCACGGTAACACAAGCCATCCCTGTCAGCACTACAATAATCAAAGCGTGGTTCAATAAGACCTTTGTATATCTTAACTGCAGTGTGCATAGAAACAAATGGATCAACTCGCTTAAGCGCACCAATGTTTGAGAAGGCTTTTTTTGAAGTGCCATGTTGGTGGGCCTTCCAAGAGAGATTATCGTCCGTAAGCCCAATAGATTTGCTATGAGTTGTTTGGTTTTACTTGGACGCCATCTTCATAAATGTTTATTGTGTAGTCATTTAAAGATTGTAGTTTCTGCTCCGAGCTAATAATCATCATAGACTCTGTTTTGGCGACATTGAGACTTAAACTGTTAGCTTTAAGCCAGAGATCAATATGTTTCAATTACTGATCTGTAATTCGAGATCAGGTATGCTAGGTGCAGAAAATGTAACGTTAGTGTCGTCCGCGTACATTCACGGAGAACCAGTATTCAAACAGTTTGGAAGATCATTATGTAGATCAAAAATAGAAGGGGACCTATTGTTGACTCTTAAGGTACAGTTAAGAGGACTCTGAGTAAATAGACAGTTACCTATGATACATCTTTGCGATGCATCTTAGATGTTTAACAAAGGTCGCAATGGTTTATGGATTAGACGACTGGCATTAAACTGAATGTTTAATCTATTCAGGCTTGTTCAATCAAAGGGATTACTTTGGGCATTGTGCAATTACGCTCTCGGGAAGCTATACTATTATTTGGCGGTCTTTTAAGCAAGTCATTGCAGTGAGTTTCGTATGCCCAAATGCTCAGGGCCAATTGCGCCAATGACCAACTCTCAAAGCAACCTTTGACTGAATTAGATATATGGGGTGCCTGCAATACAAACCTAAGCGACGCACTTGCACTGCCACGTTGATTCTTGTCTTCTTTGTTCCCATAATATTAGTAGCCACGCATTCATAAAAACCGCTGTCATCAGGACTCAAGTTGTTAATGGTAAATGTGCCTTGGTTTATGCTGGTCCTTCCAGCATGTAAAGGCATTGCTGCTCTAGTCCAGTTTATTTCGGGCCGAGGATATCCTTCAGCTTGACAAGTTACTTGAAACGTAGAACCTTGTACTGGTGTGGCAATTGAGGGTGGAACTCTTGTGAAGATTGGAAGACCTGAAATAGAGCCGAAAAATAAACAGGACGCACAATAAATTAAAGAGCTTATATTCCTTTCTTTTCTGGGAACCCTTTCAAGCTCCATGCCCTTAAATCCACATTTCGCTAAAAGCGTTACTGATAAACTTTGTCATAAGCAATGTTTAACTACATAGCCGAAAAGGAAGCAAAAGAAACGTATTAATTCAAAAAGATAAGTAAGAGATGTTAGTTGTGTAGGATATTGAAGGTCAAGACTAATTATTCAAACACCTTGAAACAAACTCAGAATTCATCATGTAGGAAGGTCATGCATTGAAGTAGTTCAGTTAACGATCAAGAAAAAGACAAATTGGAATGAAGAAATGGAACAGTGATGGAAGGATCATGTTGTGTGCCTTCGCGTACATGGTGAAGATTGTCGTTTGCATGGCTCAGGTTAAACGTTGAACTTCAACTAAAAGGTGACTAGTGGCTAAGAAATATGAAAAATGGATGAATTAAAATGAAGGAAGAGATAAAAGTACACGATTAAACAAAAGAGCACAAAGAGACCTACATAATCAAGCAGCCAGATATAACAAAAGTTCAGTGCTCCTCTTACCTCTAACAGTCAAGTTACCAGTGGCCTCGGACGATCCAAGAATGTTTCTGGCAACACATGTGTACGGTCCAGCATCGCTGTAATTCAGATTTCTAACGATCAACTCTCCTTCTTTAATCAAATACTTTGCACCTGACAGAAGTGTTCTGCCCATAAATTGCCATACCACGACTGGGGAAGGACTTCCTGCGACCGTGCAATAAAATGCCGTGTCTCCTCCCTCATCTCGTGTCTGCTCTGCCGGCGACAACATCACTTGTGGAGCAGATATCGATTTTCCAGGCCTTCCAGGTGGTCCCGGCATGCCTTTTGGCCCAGGCTCCCCATTGCTTCCCTTTTCTCCTCTCGGTCCAGTGGGTCCCATTATTCCTGTTTTTCCGGATTTTCCAGGAGGTCCCATGGGACCTTGAGGACCTTTCTTTCCCTTTGGTCCTCTCCTGCCACGTGGTCCCCTCGCTCCAATGGGACCAGGATATCCGGGGGGTCCTGCAGGACAGACTTTCTCACTTGACTTACAGTACTTGGTGGGCATAAGTTGTTCAAACTGTTTGCTGATTTCTTTTCTCACTTCATGTATGGTGATGCCAGTTGAAGTGTCGTTCAAAACGTTTCTTCGCTTCCTTAAGCGGATGGTTGCTGATGATAACGGGCTGACTGCAGTAAAGTAAGATTAAGAAATTTTTTAATATCCAGTGATTAATATTAAAAATAAGTAAGGGAGAAAATATAACGAACAAATCAACAGAATGAATGATAAGGTTGACATTTCTAACATAAAATTAACGTTTTTGAGGTTGCGTTCAACAACAAGGTTAACAACCTTTTTAATTTGTCCTCATACCTCTTCCCTTGTGTCTTCCAAGGGAAAGCGAAGCAGACACTCTAGATTTCTAGATCTACGCACACGTTTCAAACCCCGGGGGAAGGGTACTTGGGTGAATTTTTGCTAGGTATGTGCCGCTATCGTCTAAGAGCCCCTAAACCCATAATAGTCTTTTCTGTGACCAATTATAGACCCTATCTTAGTCACTTTTGGGCAAATATGTAATTTTCTCGATCCCAACTTAGTCACTTTTTATTTTTATGAATGGACCCATTTTTTACACTGTATAAAGAACACTTTACTTTTCATCTACAGAACAAACATTCTGGTACGTTTACTAACCGTAAATAAGAACTGTCTTACCACAAAAAATCCGAAAATGTCCGACCCCATTCTAGCAATTCTATTGAAAATGCAACCCCATTATAGTCCATCCAGTCGTGAAAAAGCGGCCCTAACCAGCGGCACATCCCTAGTAGCCTCTTACAAGGAAGTCCCCCTTCCCCTTGTTTTAAACCAACTGAGACCGTTCAATAAGCGTACTTTCAAAGTTACCAAAGGTTTTATTAGGTAACCCGGCAGGCCTTAAGACTCCTTAACCGAACTCCTCTAGGGGCTAAACTTTCAAAAAATATCTCAAATTTTACGCCACCCTAACAATTTATTCAGACAGTGCTATTTCAGACCAATTTTCCCCACCCGTTCTCAGACCATGCAGACCTCAGTCTATACCTGTTTTCAGACCTGGCCTTTAGAAAGAAACTGTGTCATCATTACTTAGATTAGAGCGCAAACAAAAAAATTCTTCAAATGCATTTCGAATTCACATATTTCTATTTGGTTCTTATTCATGTGGAACTGAAACGATAACTACGTTCATGCATACGCTCCAGTAGGTTCCTCGAAAACCAAACCCGATTCCAGACCAAAATGACCTACGTTTATACCCGTTTTCAGACCAAAAAGGGCCAAGAAGTACACCCTTTGTGGCGGCACATGGCTTATATAAAGGAGTACCCCTCTGGGTATTAACACATATCTTGTACGTGAGCAAGTCGTTCGACACTTGAGCTAAGAATTCAACATCATTTACACCGTAAATTTCTTTATTGTTTTACCAGTATAGGTGGCTTAGTGAATATCTAAGCAGTATTACAACAGAGCGAGCGTGTTGCAAAAGGGTTCATGCAGTTTTAGATGAAGTTAAAAATTCAATTATCTTATGTAATATCCAAAGATCCCGTATTTAAGCGCAAACTCACACCATGATGAAAGATTATATGCCCAAATCAAAAGAGGATAAACTCAGTTCTAAACACGTATCTGCATCTAAATAACATCTGAAGTGAAGATTTTACCTGATGTATAACCGATCCTTTCGGATACATGTGTCTGAACCTTCTTATAAAGATCTCTTACTGTAGCTTCTGTCGGTGAAAGAGATATCCTGTCAGCATTTTCAGTCGAGACACTCTGAACGCAGGGGAAAAGGTTAACGCGAGATTCCAGCGCTATCAGTCGTTCGTTTGTTGTTTCATTCTTCACCCAAAGACAACCGCAAACGAAAACTAATACAACAGAAAGAAACGACGGTCTTATTGACGGAACAAAATCAAGGAGACGACGAGATTCTGCCGGGGAGTTCGAGGATTTCATTTCTGCAGCTTGCCAATCGTCCCATGCGTATAAAGATGGAGGTGAGTGGGAAACTTGCCAGTAAATTTGATCCTTAAATATTTCGCCTGGAGAAACATGTCATTATGATTGACGTTAAAAAAACAAGTCTTTATAAGCAGTGTTGAAAGGGACGGCAAGGGGCCACGGACAATGAAAAACTTCATGGGGGAGGGGGAAGGTGAAGTACAAAAAGAAAACTTTTGAATATGATATTCGTGCAAGGAAAAACTAAGACCCTGTTTACATGGAGTGGGGGAAACCCGGTCTAGTGGGGTAGGTTTCTTTTGTTTTGTGTCCCCCAGAGCGTGAAAACAAAAGAAACCAACCCCACTAGACCGGGGTCGCCCACTCCATGTAAACAGGCCCTAAATGAATAAAATTAGCCCACGCCAAGTAACGCCAAAAAAAATATTCATGCTTTGGCCTAAGAAAATGAATACAAAGAAAAGGCTAACGAAAAAATTCATGCGACTTTCCTATTGGTCTCTCCCTAATTAACTTTCCTCCAAACGCCTCGTAACAATATCATTTTCATTAGAGTGATTTCTCTTGTATATTAGGTGAACTGGACCATGGGACATTATGCTCACTGGCAAACATTATACACTTAATGTCAGATCCCGAGGGAAACAGTTAGTTTGGTTTTCCCAAGAGTCCTGATGTTTCCTGAGACGAAGTCGAGGGAAACATCAGGACTCGAGGGAAAACAAAACTAACTGGTTTCCCGAGGGACCTGACATTAAGTGTTTTTGTTATATTTCGAGACTTTCACTTCAACGTACTTCAACACGAAAAAAGAATACGCTTAAGAGGAGCGAATCAAAACAGTACCACTCGGTACTTATAAGAACACAAATTTAATTCTCAAAACCACTGAATGAATGATTTAAAAAGTACTTTCCTTATATTATCTGCATCTTCCTCCACTAGCTGCTGTTTCTCTTCTGGGATAACTTTGAAAATCGTTGCTTTTTAGCTTGAGGTTTCATGTTTGTGTTGTTGTGAATGATGTTGTGTTCATTCACGAAAAAGAAAACTGGCAGTGTTTTTCCCGCCTTCTGTCACGCCACTTTCCACCATGCTCTGATAACGTGCTGTAATGTATCCCGAGCGGGGTACATTGCTTGATGTATCACGATCGGGAAACATTTGATTTTAGTCAAGGCCACGTGACCAAGAATCAGCCAATGGCTGTCCCTGTTTAGTTGAGTGAAAGTCTAGGAATATAACAAACTTTATTGAATAGTGGGAACATTTCCTTGCAGACTGGGATTACTTAATTATTTAGCGGCAATATATGCACTTCATACGCTACACTCTTGGACAAAAAGTGTTGAGATTTTGCACTTTCTTACCCACAGAACGCCTATCCCGCGGATTTGGTACCGCTATGGTCCCTCCCCTCGCCCCACCATGGTCACATTTGTTTATTCGGGATTAGAAATGATCCAGCCGGGCTTCAACATTGTTTTTTTGGGGGGGAGAGGGGATTGAGTACCTGTATAGTTGCAAGCGCTTTCAAGCTTTATCTTGAAACTAGACGCAGTATCGTCCATTTTTCTCAACATTTTTTTCAAGATTGTAGATTTGTTAGTACTTAGCCAGTTATACAACTACAGTCGAACCTCGCTATTTCGAACTCGGTTAATTCGAAGTCCCCGCTATTTCGAAGGAAGATCGAATGCCCTTGGATTTACCCTTCCCCTTTACGCTTTCCCGGTTATTTCGAAGCCCCGCTATTTCGAACTTTTTTTCATTTCCCTTGGGACTTCGAAATAGCGGGGTTCGACTGTATTTTGATTAAGATTCTAGTTGAACGTCACTATGTTTATCTTGTGTAGTTAAGGTTAAGGGCGACAGACTTAGCCGCCCCTCTCTAAGTGCCTCACAACGCATATGCGGGTTAAGTAACTCGTTGTCCATTTTTGTTATACAGTCGAACCCCGCTATTTCGAAGTCCCAAGGGAAATGAAAAAAAGTTCGAAATAGTGGGGACTTCGAATTAACCGAGTTCGAAATAGCGAGGTTCGACTGTATTTACAATGACAGCTGCTTGACAAGGTCTTTTACTAGCGCGTGTTGTTTGTTAGTAGTGTCTCCCTCGCGCGCGCCCGTTCTCTCTTTCGTCCACTACTTCCAAGCGCCTGCTACGCAGGCTAGGACAGACTGAGCGGACCAGCCCTCGGGTTAGTATTTCAACGCATATGCGGGCGTACTGAATTGAGCTCTCGGGCAAGAAAATAATTCATTGCCCTTTTTTGGTTTTATTTCCAATGACATCAGTTCATGAAACAGTTTTTTATTAACGCGTGCTGTCTGTTAATCGAATCTTGACGTATGCTTAAAGCGCCCGATAACGTTCACGCGCTTGTACAATAGCGGCTGAACCTTTCTGTAGGTGACGGGTTTATTAACTCATACACATAGTAACCCTGAGACTCTCTAACGCGTATCTGAACTGTCCTGTAACAACAGTTTAATAATCCGTGGAAACAAACTTCTCTTCCCACGATACTATCTTCAAAGGTGGTATGCTCGCCATTCATCCACCCAGTCACTGATCAGAGCTGCATTTGCGAACCGGGATACAATTGTCTACCATTCTTGAGTATGAACTTGACTAAAAGCGGTGCCAGCCGGGAACGAGTCTGTTGTCTGAGTTACTACCATAGCCAAAAAACTGCTGTCGATTAGGTTCGCTAAGAACCTTATAGTCTCGGCACTCTGGTGTATCTGAATTGAAAAAAGGCAAATGACGAGAAAACTTTGGGCTAAAGTTGAATATCTAATTGAGTTCTGCTAGATTTTTTACTGCCAGCTAGCACACAATGAACAGCTCGAACATGTATATTGGCATGTAACGGGAAAAAAAAGTATGACAAACTAGTGAAATGAAATCAACTCACGAACTAGCCCTCCACGCATACGTTCTTAGGGTTTCGTCGTTTCGTTCTTAATGAACTTGACAGAAAGGCGGAGCGATGGCTTGATTTGTTGAACGAAAGATTATAATGTCGATTATTATAAAAAACTGGCTGCAATTTCTGCTAAACATGCAGTTCCACATTTTTGAGGCTGGTTTAACAAGGGAGTCTTAATTTTTTGCGACCACAAATACACATAAATAGGATGATGTACTAATGCGGTGAATTACTTGCGTAAATCGTTAATTTTTTCGACTCCGGTAGCTAGATAGACTACGAGTAGTCCCCCATTTTTCCTCAGGGATAGTAGAGCGAGCGAAACGCGAGCGCGCGTGAAAATCACCCCACGCGAGATAAGGCGAAACGCGGCGGGGAGATATTTTACTCTCTCCACGCCGCGTGTCGCCTTTTCTCGCGTGGAGTGATTTTCACGCGCCCTCGCGTTTCGCTAGCTCTACTACCCCTGAGGAAAAATGGGGGACGACTCGTAGTCTAGTAGCTAGACGTCTTCAAGAATTAAAATTTCTCTTCGTTATTCTAGTGGCCAGTAGTTCTTGCAGCTTTGCCAAGCGTTGCACGATATCCGATAGTCATTATTCAGGGGCACCCAACGACGGTTTCCCCCTAATTACTTTGAAAACACTTTTTAGGCTATCCAGAGTCATCATAGGGTAACTTGAGTCTTTTCGAAGTTACGAGGGCTTCAGTATTATTTTGCCGACAATTTTAGCGGCAATTTAAAGTTTTAGGAAAGTGATAGTTTTTCTGATTCCTTCTACATTGCATTTTCGATTTCAAACTGTTTTAGGTTTCCTTTCTCTACGGAAAATAACCTAACCTGAGGAGTGAAATGGGAAAAATGAAACTTCAGAAAATCGTAGGGAATTTACTAGATAAGCTTCGAAAGTTGTGTACATGAATGGAACGGTCATCTAGAAATTTTTAGCCTTCCTACAGAAAATTCTATGTAATTTTTGCTTCTCCGGACAGATATTTCCCAGAAAACAGTCGTTGGGTGCCCCTGATTATTGCAGTTATCTTCAAGCTTGTGGGCTTTTAAGACGACATGTGAGTGTAGTAAATTGTCGATTTGCTTATGCGATAATTTAAATCAATTTGCGCAACCTTTGCTATTAGCATCCTAGTAGCAAGGCAATAATCAGTTTGCACTTAATCATTTATTAATTGACAATAGTCAAACATCCCAGTTAAGGGTATATTCTAGTGTATATTTGGTTGATAAATTCCCTGCATTGTTCTAACATTTCTTAGAGCTAAGTCCTTTTTATTCGATCGTTGGTAGATCAAACAGATTGAGTATGAGGGGAAGCAAGGAAGGCTGGATAAAAAGGAAGGCTACTTAAGTATGCTGCTAATCGTTCCACTTTTAATAGTTAATCAGTTAAGTTAAAGTGGTAGAAAAAGGCTTAAATACTTTTTAAAAGGAGCATTTTGGACAACTTTCCCCCATTTGGTAAATAAAAAAGAATGTAGGGGGTTGTAGTGCTGACTTTTTTGTAGATTTGAAAGCTAGTTGTAATTTCATTGCAAATTTCTACTCGAGGTACGTGTCCGTAATATTTGATACTCCTTGAGGGAGCCCCCAATCATTTTTTTTTTCTATTTTTCTTTTCCTTGGAGCGTTGAGTTCCACTTTTTCTTTTTCTGGTAGGAACATGAAAGTGACAGATAATGAGGTATTTAGAATACGTAACAAGGGTAACCAAGGCGCTACGACAAATACCGTTAAATACCGTTTGTAAGGGATTATACAATTCTGATAAGAGGTTTTCGGAGGGCTTACAAAAGAGGGGACTTTTAACCGGCTTAAAAAATCGTTTACAAAGCAAGCTACATAG